GAAAACCCTAGCCGACTCGCCAAGTCACTCATCTAACTCATTGAGCCCACGACAATCTTCATCGGACTCGTCGAGTCGACCATGCGACTCGCTGAGTCGCTTCAGTCCTTTATCCAAACAGATGCTTTTTAAGCCATGCTAAGGCCCCAAATTGTGATCTAGCTTCCAAAGTCATGTTTATCACGTAAAGTTGCAAACTTTACGTGCATGAAAATCTCTAAAGTCTTAAAATGACCAAACCAAGCTTGAAAAGAACTTTTACAATTGAAGGGATGTTCATGCTTGACAAAGCTAACAACTTTATGGACCTAGAGACCCAAGAGAGCTCAGATCTGAAGTTGCAACTTCAGATCTTAGCTCAATCACAAGAAAAGCTTCCAAAAATCCACCCAAATGAGATCTAAGATTAAATGAGGCCAATATAACATGTTAATACCTTCAAAAGGGTGCCCACTGAAGTAGATCTCCGATTCCCACGAGTTCCTGGCTCCCAAACACTTGTTCCCCAAGCTTTTTTCACCAAAATCCTTATTCCAAGCTTAAACATACCATAGAAGCACACACACACACACACACACGAATTAAGGTTTTGGAGTGACAAGAGGCTGTAGAGGGGAGACTGGGGAGGCCAATGATCCTTTAAATAGGGTGCAAAACCCCAGAAATTAGGGTTTCATCCACCAACTCCTACTCATTGAGTCCCCCTCTTGGACTCGGCAAGTATGTCACTTAAACATGTGGATCAACCCGCTGCTACTCGACGAGTAGGGCAACCAACTCGTCGTGTAGACCTTGAAATCAAGAAAAATCTTATATTAAAATTAATACCGGAAAATCAGGGCGTTACATTTAAAAGTTTAAATTTATCATGATTTTTATGGGTGTTACACCATAGCTCATTTTGATTTCAAATTGCTCGAGTGTATTTTCGGTGGATCTGGAAAGGTATATGATACGATCATGTGAGGAAAGTAAGAAGATGATCCCATTTCTCACCGTCATAACAGATTTAATCCATATGGAGTTTGCGAATCGTAATTTAGCGTCAGGTTGCCACGTGCGGTAAAAAACGTCGGTGTCGTTGCTAACCCTAGCCCCTACTGGTGTCATACGAAGCTAGATCGATCTGGATAAGCTCTAGAGAACTGATCACCGGAGGATCAATAGCAATGCTGTAAAAACACACCTCGATGTCATCATCGAAAGTAAAAACAAAAGATTTGAGTGTTGCTTCAATTAGTTCAACACGATCGGTAACAAACACCCCAACCTTCCTTTAATTACAAAATACACCATGAATTTTATCGTTCCAACATTGTTCATACGTTAGCCATAATCGAGGCCGTGGAAATTAAGGTATATAGTGTTAAATACGGTGGTGTTCTTACTAATGCTTATCGGAGAAGATCAAAGTGTATGGTGTTACGGTTGATGGTCGAAGGCAGTAGCAAAGTGGTGTTGGGCGTAGGCGGTGGTGGTGCGATGGTATATAGTGAAAGAGATGCTCCTATAGCTTTCATTTGGAAAGATATGAAAAATTATGGGCATACCCTCCACTTAATTAAAAGTTAGACGCTTTTTTTTGCTAAAATTTGTTCTTAAATATTCTTCAAATAAGAATTGTTCTCAAATTACCATACTTTTTATATATATATATATATATATATATATATATATATATATATATATATATATATATATATATATATATATATATATATATATATCTTTTAAGACATTTTACCTTTTTTTTTTTAAATCATTTTTTTATTTACATTATAAATAACAGCTTCAACCATCCAACTTTACCACAACTAAAAATACTTCTTGTATCTTTTTACAATATTGTTTTCATCTCTCTAGAAAGCTAAAATCATGTTTTCTTCAAACATTAAAAACGAAATAAACACCTAAAATAATAAAACATTTAGGAAAAATATAACTTTTAGGTTTTTAATTTAGTTTTATGTATTTTTAATCTCAATCAATGAAATTTTAAGTTTTTATTTATATTAAATCGTTTAAATAAATTAAAAACAAATAATGTATGTCATGGTTAGTGTGCGGTAAAGAAAATGATGAAGTTGAAATAACGGTGCTGATATAATAAAGTAATAAACAAAAAAAACCGGTAAGTGTATTGTTTTAAAGAATTGTGCATGATTTCCACTTCTACAGCTTGTTATTGTTGACCAAAATTATTCAATTAGAGTCGTGGATCGTAAATCTGGAAGGATTTAAATGTAAACTAATGCAAATCGTTCAATGTGCATAATATATTGATAATTGAATATATATATATATATATATATATATATATATATATATATATATATATATATATATATAATATCTAAGTAAACTATGCATAATATATTGATAATTGAATTCATATATATATATATATATATATATATATATATATATATAGGAGTAGGATCAAATAAGAACACCTAAAAGGTTGAAAACGCGAGAAAACCATCTAATTTTTAAGATATGTGGCTATTATTAATTGTTAATTTTCTAATTATTAATACATTTAAATTTTAATTTTAAATTAAAGAAAATTATAAAGGCTATTAAAGTAAATAAGCATTATCCTAATTTTGTAAACTCCTATAATTACTCTTTGCTTCTCTTGACCTATTCGTCATGTGTAAATCGGTAGTCTTCTTCCCCAATTGCCCATGATAAACGAACGCAGGCTCAAAACTACTCGTGAAACACAACATAAGTTTTGAATACAAAATGCAATTAACTCCGAGCAGACCTTCGTTCCGAGCACACAGTTACGAATGTTAGGCGATCAACATCTCATTCCGATTTTGAGCCGACAAGAACCCGATTCCGAGTACAATTAAACATCCCAACAGTGAATAGTCGGTTCCGAATCTGATCTTAACTTTGATGTTCGTGGGAAAAATGATTCTGAGCCCAGATTATCAAGCCCTGATCGTTCGCAGGTGAAATAGTTTTCAATCCTAATTTCATTTGTTCCGAGCATCACACTCCCGATTGCGAATCTATGTCAATACCTGAATCCAAGATTTCCAAACATAGGCTCGATTCCGATTGCAAATATGAGTTACGATTCCGAGACCTCGTTTCTGATTACAGGTGAGACATTGGAACCAAAAAGTCCACAAATCCAATTTTAACTATTTAATTGACCATCCCGATTCCAAGGCAGTCGACAATATACTCCATAAAGTCAGTTGAAGAGAAGAAGAAAAGAGAATGGAAGCAGCGGGATGTGGGGTCTGCCATTGGTTTCCGGTGACAAAGTCCCGATATTGGGTTGTTTGGTGATCGAGAAGGGCAACGACGATTCAAAAATAGGTAAGGGTTCCTTTTTTGTTCTTGTTTGATTTGGAAGAACTCGATAGGCTCAAGTGGGTCTTTGAAGGCTCAAGTGGCAGCCCTTACAATTGATGGAAGAGATAACCACACAAAGTTGTAATCAGATTCAAGGTAAAAGGTTGTGCACATAAGCTATTTGATGATATGCGTGAGAGGGGTATTCATTTATGAATAAGAGGGTATTCATTTGTTAATAACAATGTATTCATTTGTAAATAGCAGTGTAATCATGTGTGAATGAGTGTATTTTATTTATGATTAGAGGTATTGTTTTATTCATTTGCATATACCAAGGTATTCATTTGTTAATAACAATGTATTCATTTGTAAATAGCAATGTAATCATGTGTGAATAAGTGTACTTATTTATGATTAAATGTATTTTTTTATGAAGAAATGATAATTTTTACATCCTTTTTATTTTCAGTTGATTAAAAGAAAGGAAGTGGATTACTTGTAAATTGATATGTATTCATTTGTGATTGCAGTAATATTAGTTTTTTTGAAAAAAAAAATCGTTTGTGAATACAAATGTATTTATTTGGGGTTGGATTTTTATTAATTTTTTTGAAAAAAAAAAACGTGAAATATGAGGAAAAAAAATTTAAGAAAAAAAATTAAATTTTTTTAGTTTTAATTTTTTTTTTTTTGATAAATTTGTTTTTTTATATTTTATTAATAAGAAAAATAAAAAATCAAATATCTCCTTTTTTGGTAACTGATCCTAAATTTAAGAGAATTTGATTGATTTTATTTTAATTTAATTTAATTAAAATATGCAATTACTTATATGCCCTTATATATTGATGATTGGTTCAGAACTGTTCTTACGTTATTAACCTTTTAGGTGTTCTCATTTGAGCATTTCTATATATATATATATATATATATATATATATATATATATATATATATATATATATATATATATAATTTTTTGGTCACTTAATTCTTTTTAAGTTTTAAAATGTCATCAAACTTTTGATTTTGTAATTATTTAGGTGTTGTTTATTTTTCCTAAAAAACTCATTATAACCACTTATTGTTGCGTCGTGTAGCACACACGCAACACTTTCTCATTCGCAGCTGTTTGATTTTCAGAAGACTTCTGACTGAACAACTGTTGCGTGTGTGCTGCTACACGACGCAACACTTTGTCATTCGCACCTGTTTGATTTTCAGAAGACTTCTGACTGAAAAATTGTTGCGTGTGTGCTAACTATTGGTTTGATCACTTAACTCTTAGATTTGTGTTCATTTAGTCACCTAACATTTAAAATTGTGCTCATTTAGTCACAAAACTTTTAAAATATTTGAAAAGTTTAGTGACTAAACGAGCACAATTTTAAAAGTTAGGTGACTAAATGAGCGCAAATCCAAAAGTTAAATGACAAAACCAACACTTAAGTGACTAAATGAGCACACAACCAAAAGTTCGATGATATTTTAAAACTTAAAATAAACTAAGTGATCAAATGAGCACAAAATCAAAAGTTAAGTGACCAAAAATGATATATATATATATATATATATATATATATATATATATATATATATATATATATATATATATATATATATATATATATATATATATATATATGATTGTAAATAACGTAAGGAATAACTTGACGACAATGTCAAGCCCAAACTTTTCCCTACAAATGCAATCAAAAATACAAATAGTATTACCAGAAAAATTAAGAACTCACTCAAATATCAGAAAAATTAAGATAACCAAGGGAAAATATGTTCAAATAGTATTACCAGGTCAGAGCATCGAATAACTAAGTGTCTTGGCCAACTTAGTATGTGTCCCAGTGCATCTTTGACCTTCACAATGAACTCCTCTTCAAGTGGAAAGGGTACTAAAGCTTCTCCTTGCAAAATTGTTTCAATCATAACTTCAATGTTTTCATCTGTTACAGAAACATAAAAATTAATTAAGATCCAATCTTCTAAAAAATGAAAATATATAAATAATAATAATGCAAATATATTTCAAAATACCCGATGCTTTCATTATGGTTCCTTTAGCAACTACATTTGCAGCAAATTCAACCGCAAGAAGACATGAATTATTCTGAAAAATATAGTATGTTAGTTTGTAGAAAAACAAAATTATTTAAATATATTTTTCATAATTGTCTTCAAGGACTTACAAGTGATTCATTATATGGTTGGTTTTCAAAATCTTCAATGACGCCCCCTATTTGGCAACTTGCAGCTTCAGAAACATTAAGTACACCTCTTTTTAGTTTCTCCAAGTCATCTTCAAGTTTGTTGATCCGTTTATCCACCCTCTCGTTCTCAATCTCCAAGTAATACTTAAACATTCTTGGGTAAATAAAAGTATTAGTGTGGCGTTATAAATCTACCCATCCCTCGTACATGCCCACGTTGTTCCTGAGTACCCAACGCCTCTGTAAGCACATCATGTGTTCCACATGTAACCTCTCCAAAGCTTCCCGATTTCTGAAGCTCATCCTGTAAAATAAAATGGGACAAATGTTAGAAAAATAAAATGGGACAAATGTTATTTTTTTATATATTTGGGAATTAATGAAACTTACAATTTTATCAACAATCGTCTTCACATCTGCATCGTATCCTCCTGTCTTCAACTCTCTTGCCTTTTTCCACAGCAGTGTCCTATCAATCTCCTCTTCCGTCTTGTCGGTTTCTTGCATCTAAATTATCAAGAATAACAAAGTCAATTAACATATATATATACAAATAAAATAATCAAAATTCAGTGGGAATCATACAATGTCATTAATGAGTCCAGCATATCCTTTTCTGCTCAAACGATGATTGTATTTATGATGTGCACGAGTATTTTTAGCTTTCATACTTTTCTCCTGCATTAGAAACATTAAAATTATAAATACAAACATTAAAATTGTAACTACAAATGCATATAATAAAAGTTTAACAAACCACCACTTCTTTGTAACTCTATGGGATACAAAAACTTTCCAATCTTCTTTCTTTATAAACGGATAATCTTTCGGAGGTTTGAATAGATTTGCCTTGGTATCTTTACTTCGGTTCTTAATGAACTTGGCATATAGATAATGCTTGAAGTTTCTCCACTTCTTCCCGATCGATTGGAGAATTTGCTTCCGACTCTTTGGGTCAACTACAAACTTTTCTTGAAACATAAAAAAAAGGTTGGTTCAAAAACAAATCTGAACAGGGACAAAAACAGATCTGAACAAAGGTAATAACAGGAAGAAAACAGAGACTTACCAAAACATATTGCCATAATCCTTCCCTTACTTCCTCACTAACTTCCAGCCACGAGTCATAGGTTATGGGAACCATTATTCTTGCAACCAAACCCTCAAAAGTAGACAGTTTTGTGGCTTCCTTTCCAACCGGGACACCTTTTTTATTGTAAGTTATTACAAGCTTCACTTTATTAGCTTTTGTCTTTGTTGTCGGACCTCTTTGTTTGGACTCCTCATCGTGATCAGAAGCTGAATCTGATTCCATGTCACAAAAACACAACCTGTTTCAACAAGATTGAAATTAAATTAAGTACGTTGTTATTTGTTGCAGTTGGACATTGATTAATCACATTCAAAATCTGAAATAAAAACATACCAAAAACTTTATTGTTCTGCAAAAAAAATATTTACACTAATATGCCCTCGCCATCCGGACGCGTACACAAAAAATCATCATCAAGGTCTAATAAAGCGGAATCTTGTGCTAAATCAAAAGTAACATCAAATTCAAGCATATCACCAGTTTCACCATTTGATCCATACTTGTACATCCTATGAGGTGTGAATCCAACAACATGCAATGTAACACCCCATTTATAAATAAATAAATAAATGTATAGAAGCCCTAAAAGGAATAATAATTGAGCGAGGCATTATATTTTGAGGAGTTAAAAGTCATAATTACAGAAGTCAGATTGCGTTTGGTAATTAATGGACTTAAATTGAAAATATTTGAAGGCTTAAGGGTTTATTGGTAATTTCAGAAATCTTATATGATAAGGAAATCAAGAGCGGAAGGGGGGGTATTTTCGCCAATAAACTAAAGTCTAGGGACCTATGCTGCCAATTTCGAAATGAAAAGAGTGTGCCCTCTTCCTCAGCAAATCGCAGCAGCAGAGACTTCTTTTTTTTGGGGATGCCACTACCGATTTCTCCACTAGTTTTCCAACCCAAGCCAACATTTCCCAAACACATATATGTAATCCTATAGTTAGAATCATTAGGGTTGGGGAGAATAGTCTCAATGGCCGCCAAGAGGGTATATGTGGGTTTTGTATAGTTAGTTACCCTTCCGGCAACTGTTTCCCATCTCCATTGAGCGAAATTAAAGATGGAGATGATAGTCATGGGTCTCCGGTGACCACGGCGTCGTGTGTATGCAATTTTGCAGTGAAGGATGCTCTTGTATCGGTGATTAAAGCTCTCCCCAAGACTTGTATTTTTCTAATAAGGCAACCCACTTCCCATATTTCTCGATGCTTCTGTGTTGTGCCTGGTCCGAGTTCATCACCGGTATGTATGCCAATATCTCTACACCTTCTTTTTAGAGTTATGGTTGTTGTAAGTGTAACAGCAAGATAATTTAGATGGGTATGGGAAGCTAGTTCATCTCCGAAGAAGACATCATCGGTAGCAGCTAGGATTTTCAGGTTGTATGCTAGACTTTGTTGGTAAAGCTAAATCGATGGGTTGGTGGTTCCGTCGACCAAAGAACGTAGATACAGTGAAGAATATGAGAAGTTTTGAAACTCCGGTGAAGGGATGATGCAATAATCAACCTCTTGGCGGAACTACTCGAGCAAGGGCAAGCCCGACTTCTATGACCGGAGGAAGTAACAGACTTTTGGCGAGGAAGGTTAGCATCGCTGGTGATGAAGCCGTAGCCAGAGCTAGAAAGGTCGGCTGGAGCCAAGGTCAACATTTGGTAAATTGAAGATGAAGGTCACAGGTATCATCTTTCGACCCTCTGTATACTCCCTTAGGTCAATTGTGGCTTGGGCCTAATTTCATGGAGTTATTGGGTTGACCCTATTTTGGGCTAGTCTAAGCAATGTATATGGATTAGGAATTTCTTTTGGCCCAATCCAAGCTAATTGTAATAAAATCAGTTAGAGTATTCAAAGAGTTTTGGATAAAAGTTATAAAGTTAAATGTTTTGGCAAAATGATTGATTAATGAGTTATAGGCAAAAACCATGTTTAAAAGGTATACGTTTTCTAAATGATCGAATTAGAAATATGGAAGATTTTATTCATTATATTGATTATACAAGGTGGGTTATTGTTAAAGGCTAGCAGTCATCAAATATATATATATATATATATATATATATATATATATATATATATAATAAAATAATGCTACGTAATACTTTGGGTCTGAGCTAAGTTGGGATTATTAATATGCTTATAGGTGCAAAGAGTTTGGAATTCGTCATAGCCGTTTCAATGGTTTTATTCTGCTGTTCAGTTCAGGTGAGTTTCCTTCCAGTAGGAACGGGTCTAAGGCCACAATGCCGGCCCGTTCAGTTAGCAGTAGTTTCTGGACTTCGGTCCGATGCAGTAGTTAGTATGTTTGATGTCTTCGTGGATCAGACATGATTTATGTGTTATGTGTTATGTGTTATGTGTTCCGGGCTACGGCCCGATGCAGTATGCAGTATATGTGTTCATGCTAGTTGATATGTTATGCTATGCTATGTTCAGTCAGTTTCCGGACTTCGGTCCGATGTAGGGGGCAAGGCCCCAGTTAGTCCGGACTTCGGTCCGATGCAGGGGACAAGGTCCCAGTCAGTTTCCGGACTTCGGTCCGATGCAGGGGGCAAGGCCCCAGTTAGTCCGGACTTCGGTCCGATGCAGGGGACAAGGTCCCAGTCAGTTTCCGGACTTCAGTCCGATGCAGGGGGCAAGGCCCCAGTTAGTCCGGACCTTGGTCCGATGCAGTGGGCAAGGCCCAGTATGTGTTTTATATGTTATTGTATGGTATGTGGTAGTTTGGGGGAGCTCACTAAGCTTCGTGCTTACAGTTTCAGTTTTTGGTTTCAGGTACTCAGTTTTCAAAAGAGGAGCTCGGAAAGATTGCAGTGCACACACCATTTGTTCAGCCTGGGATGTTTATACTCTGATATACTTGACAGTTGTTATAATATTTTGAGATGCATCGCTTATGATTTTTATATGAGGTTTATCGACTATGGTTTTTATTATTAAATTGAACGAAATTTTCAGACTGTATTTTTGGGATGTTACAAGTTGGTATCAGAGCCTTGGTTTGAGGGATTCGGATAGACTTCGAGTGTGTCTAAACTCAAACTAAGGAAATGGTAAAAGGTTTTCAAAATAAAGACATTTTCGAAAAGAATTTTTGAGAAAAGAAAGAGTTTTTGAAAAAGCGAAAAGAAATTTTAGAAAGAAAAGAACTTTAAAAAGAGAAAAGGGTGTGGTGCATGCAATTAGCCGAGCTCAAGTAAGTACTCCCAAATTACCCGTACAAGTTTATGTTATGAATATCAGTTTCAATTTTAGTAGAACAACATGCTAGAATAGGGCTAAGGATCTAGGAAGGATGCCTTATGTTCCTATTATATGTGTATCAGCTTTATGAGAATTGCATGCTAGTTAGGGCTAAGGATCTAGGGAGGATGCCTTATGTACCTGTTATATGTGTACCAGCTTATTGAGAGATGCATGCTAGTACAGAGTAGCCAGTATGATAGCTAGAGTAGTATATGCTTTAGTATGTGTACTCAACGTGCGAATGTTGCTTGCTTTGTGCTCCTAGGAGTTCTAGTTGTCTTTCACTAACTAGTAAACGAATATGATAAGTTACATATTGCAAGGACTAAATAATTTTAGAAGGTTAGGTCTAGCCCTATTTCATAGCTCTTGTCTGAGTCCAACCGTTGTAGGGTAGGGTCTCTCATTCGAAGAATTATATAGTCTGGGTAATATGTAATAGTATTTGCGAGCTAGTTAGGGGAAGAAAGCAGGAACTTCTTATGCAGCTGATGGTGGGGAGTGAGTTAGTAGAGTCAGAGATTTCCCTAGGGCAAGCCTATGATGAGATTAGCATGAGATCAGTAGTAGTAGTAAAAGGGACTTGGTGGAGTCAAGGCACTTCTTGAGGAAAGTACGGATAGATGTGGAAGGTAGTAGGGGCCCATACTACTGAAAGCAGAGGATCTGTACTCGAATCAAGGAAGGCTGAGATGAAACTAGAGAACTTGTAGTGTGTGAGATCCCTTGAGTTTGGATAAGTATTGTGATGTTAGTGATGGTATATTGCCAAGTATAGTGATGCTATGTGGTAGACCAGATGGTAGTTCTGGTGTCGATGAGGGATCAGGCTTGAACTCTGTAGCAGGGAAGCTCGATGATCAGGTGAAGGACTTCATTCCATATGATGTTATGCGCAGTATCATTGACCAGACTCCTGTGATCCTCAGTGTAATCAAGGAGGGCATTATAGAGATTTGTGATGAGAGGACGAGTGCATTCTGCACTGAGATAGCAGTCATGATAGAGACATGTACGTTGATGTTTTGAGAATTTAGAGTTTGTGAGGCTTCAGATTGTCATGGGGGTTAGCGACCCCATTCTTAGCAGTAGATGGTTGGCGGATGTCACCAGCGCTTTTCGTACCAGACTTTGTCTCGAAAGGAGACAAGATCTGAGTTACTTCCTATCTCCTGAGGGATAGAGCACGAGATTGATAGGAAGAAGTTGGTAGTGAGTTGAGTGATGATGCAGTTAATGCTATGTCATGTAATGACTTTTAGACCAGATTCTGGGCAGAGTGTGCCCAGGCGATTGAGGTGCAGCAGTTGGCGCAAGAGTTGTTAGATCTCCACCAAACGACTGAGACTGTGGCAGAGATCACTGCCAAGTCTCAAGAAAGAGCTTATATGGTACCACAGTATGCAGCATATGAGGAAATGAAGCAGGTAAGTTATCAGAACATACTATAGAATGATAGCAGAGAGATCATGAGTATCTCGAGGTGCAAGACCCTGAATGATATGACTTCTTGAGCTTGATAACGACATATGGACTTGGATCACATTGGTACGAAGGAACCAGATCAGTTGCTTATAGCGAGGGGCCTCGAGAAGAGACCGTAGATTTCATATCGGCTTCTGAGAGGCCAGCAGGGTCAGATTCGGTGAAGCACTTGCGGAAAACTGCATAAGGGAACCTTTCGTTCCAAGGGTTGAGTAAGTGTACCCTGAGTTATCCTTGGTTTGTGTCCAAATTATATTTTCGAGCGGTGTCATATGCCAATTGCATGCCAAGAAGTATTAGCGAGTAGTGATAGAGCATTTCCCAAATGGCGGGATTGGGAGAGTACAACGTCATCTTGGTTTATTCCATGACTGAGGAGCAGCACGAGAAGCACCTGAGGGAGGTGCTAGAAACTTTGAGGAAGGAGAGAATTTTTGCAAGGTTCTCTAATTGTGAGTTCTGGTTGCGTGGGGTGCAATTTCTTGGGCACCTTGTCAATCGGAAGGATATTTTAGTTGATCCGGCCAAGATAGAGGCTGTGATACAGTGGGAGATTTTGAGGTCTCCAATTGAGATTCAGAGCTTCCTAGGTCTAGCGGGTTATTACCGAAGATTTATTCGGATTTTTTTAGAAGTTGGGTGATCTTTTGGATTAGCTGGTGTTGAAAACACTAGAAAGGGTAAGTGTGGTTCTAGCAGATTAGTCATGGGTGGTAAGAAGGACCGTGAATCCTTTCCAGACAGTGAACTGTAAGGAGCTAGTTGAATCG